GTGGGTGGTATGGCCAGCACCATGCCCTGATGTCTTTGTCTTCCCCCGGTCCGTATGCTTACATACTCTCCCAGGTACTTAAGAGCTGATGAGGCACAGTGAACGTGCACATCAGTTCAGTTCATTTATTTTGGTATAGCCCTGTGAGCCATGCGGCTCTTGAATCGGGTGCAACCGCAACAAACAAAAAACATGCACAAGAAACATCTTAAAGTGACGACGCGCAATATAAAAATCCAGGGAAAAAACAGCAAAGTCTTCCAGAAAAAGCACCGTATATCAACGCTGTGCGCAAAAAATCCCAGTGGGATGCAATTCAAACAATAACAACCACAAGACAATTTATATTAAAGTTATCAGTCTAACTCTGTACTACAACAAACAAATATGGCTAAACCAAAACGTTTTCGAAATCACCAAAATAAAGTTATAAAAACAATGCAACAGTGATCATAGGAGCTGTGATTCAAATTTAACAATAAACGATATACATAACATGTACGACCAAACTTTGCAGCCATAGCTGGCAGCATGAGTCGCATAACGGCAGGAGTATCAGTACGACTTGCCACTGAAGTGCACGAATGGGAATTGAACACGTATGTTGCAGAGGCCATAGGGTCATGCACAGACCACACATAAGCACACATACATACATACTTGCCCGTGTGTATCTACACTTATATTTAGATGTATGGGATTTCTTGCCTGATACAACGCAGATGTTCATCGCAACATTGGGCCTATTTAGGACGTTGTACAAAGAACACAAACATAGTTGCCTACGTGTGTGTGTGCCGTTTTTGCCACGAGTGGTGATGACATTACCAAGGCACTCGTGCCAGGCTAGGTGCACTTGGGCAAGGTGAAGGCGTGCCAGCAGGCCACAAGGCAGACCCACGTGCGATGTTTAACAGACACACGTGCACGTGTTTAATGAGATTTAGTGGACAAAAGACTGCATTGCGTGTATGTACGTTGAACTTCTTTCGCACCGTACGTAGCCAAACCGTGCTGATCGGAGGTGCGGCGGAAGGACAACAAACGAAACACACAAAAAAGAAGTCCTAAAGAAATTAGTTTATCAATCAATGCATGGTTATCCATCATTGCCTGATAATCTACTGTACTGTATCAGGCTACTGGTGTGCATTGTAAATAAACGCACACAGTAAGGGATCTCAGCCACACGAGATCCATTACTTTGAATAAAGAGGCGTATCCGTGGTCAGAGTGGACTACTGAATGCGCATTGACATAGAACACAATAACTTCATACATAAGTGCTGACACTACACCGAGGATGAAGCTGTTGACAGTTTTAACGTAAAGTATGAGCCTCGTTCGGCATTGTAAAGATGACTTTATGGCCTGATTGCTTTATGGGCTGATTGCTTTATGGGGGGCGGGGGGGGGGTGCCGATGGCCCTCATAATAAAAGCCCTTCTCACCGACTTTTGACCCCTCTAGAAATGCCAGGGGATGGGATGGGGGTCTCACCGCCTATTGCCACACCAGCACTCAATGGGGCGTCAAACACACACCGAGCGCCAGCTCGTCACGCATGACGGCCGGTGAAGAGTGTTGCAAGCCTGATTCCGTAGCTCAGCCTCGTGCAGTTTATCTTGCCTTGGAGGCTGCCTCTCTGATTAAACTCACGTGTGCCCCTTCAAAGGCTTGGTCTTTAATGATAATAATAAAGCACACACCCACACAAACAACTTTGGGGGAAAAAAAAACTTGAATTTCTGCAAAAATTCCTTTGGGTTGATACGTTACAAGTGTGAAACGTTAATGCGGTGCAGAGATGACGATGTCAATGTCAGAGCTTGGAGATGGCCTTGCCGAGAACGTGGGTGGAAGATCCTCGATTCTTATCCGCCCCTACTGGACATCTGTGAAAAAGAGCGCAATAGCTCATCGGATTGCTCCGGCGTAAATTACAGATTCTGATTCTAAAGTGGGGCGAGTTGCTGGTCCCAGCCCATGCACCAACGATTGCTCAAAAGACCAACACGTACAATTTATATTTTGCCCCTCAATTTGGCCTCACCCATCGATGAAAGGCGAACAGAAGTTTCTAATTTCTCTCTGACGCCTTTGGTGTTTGAACATCTTAACGCTTGTTTTATTGCCAGAAAGGGTAACGTCTATTCTTATTTTTCATCAAGTATATTACTAAAACGCAGTGAACTTTATGGAGCTTGAAGGATTAGTGACGTGACTGCAGAAGTAGGTCTGTGGTGTCACCTTCCCGGGTCATTCTCTGAAACAATGTGAGACTGCTGAAAACACTTATCGAATAATGCTCTTCTCAGCTCATGGCATGAATCTAATAAAAGCACGAGCGGAAAGTAAAAGTCACAACATCCGATATATATTTGTGCCTGTTTCGAATGCATATACTACTTATTTAATGCGAGTTCGTGGAAGGTATCCATTTAAATTGTTTAGGTGGTTTTTGTCTTGTTTTCGTAAGGGTTCATTTGCGATTCGTCGCCTGCCGGCCGAGTGGACCCACCATTTATTTATCTGTCAATTCAAAGCCGTCAAGGTCGACTGTCTGAAGATTTACCAGCACTCGACCGTGTTTTCAAAGCACCGCACCGCAATGCGTTCCCCACATTGAAGGCGGTGAATATCTCTGCCCCTGAAGAAGGGCGATTGACCCAAAAACGATAGCTTAGCGTCTATCGATTTTTCTTGTTGCTATACGACAGTGCTCATTATTATTAATTGGGTAACTTGAATATTGGTGCTTATCCTCGCTCAAGGTTATTTTTTCACCGTGTGATCATTCATCGTGAATATTTTGCAAGCGAAGAGATGTCGATGGCTGCTGTTTTGTACGGAGAGTTTTTGTTGCTGTGATTATACGTTTACGTTAAGATGTTTTTTTCCCCATAGAACGTGGAATTTCCATCACTGGCCAATGAAGGTGAGCGCATGCTCCTTGTCTCGCTGATCGTATGAGGACAAGGCAGACCCACATGCTATGGCTAACAAAGACAAATATCTCCGATATAGCCTTAAACAGACCGTTAGGGCAAATGCTGTTAACGAGCACCTATGAAGGCCGGCACGGCATATGAGAGGGGGGTGGGGTTGGGTGGCATTGTTTTCGTGCCATCGTTTTACCGGCAGTGGCACATTTTCCAAAGTGATTTGGTTCTGATGCTTTTTTATCATTGTGACCCAAAGATTTCAACCATCAGATTTGAGCTATGACTTTGCCACACTGTGACCTACCCTTTGTGAACGAGGTGACGGGTTGTTGCTTTTGTTGTTGTTGTTTTTGTTTACCACAAACTTTAATTCCCGGAATACATTCACGCCGGTGTCCTCTCTGTGTTCACAATATTTTACCCAAAGTAAAATATTGATCTCAATGAGAGCTGTTACCATAGTCTAGGACAGGAGTGGCCAACCTGGTACACACCAAGAGCCAAAGAGAGCCCAAGAGTTCTGCAAAAAGAGCCAAGTGTATATATATATTTTGACAGTTTTCGGCACAGCACGGGAGACATTAATTATTTTTGCTTCTGTGGTAGTGCGTTTTACGTTATGCCTCTTCGATAGAGCCGCACGTGGTGGATTATAGAGGCGCACGCGGCTCAGGAGACGACAGTCGGCCACCGCCGCTCTCGAATGCGGAAAACAATTCCAACTTGAAGACGGGCGACGCAAAACAGACACTTATACAGGGAAAGGGAAATTCAAATTGATGCTTCTCAAAATTGCCAGCATGTGCATGCATCTCTTCGGCTCCTGCCGAGCCAGATTTGCTGGAGGTCAGCCTATCGGACATCGTGGCCCTGTCGCCGTTCGAGCTTCTAACGGGGCACACGGTGGCAAGCAGCGAGCACAGCGGTGCTTTGAGCGACTGCGATGCAACGACGGTGCTGGCGACCTGTGACATGGTATCAACTTCAGTGGCGAGCGGTGTATCTGACACCGTCCTGGGGCCTCCCCGAGGTGCGTGCAGCTGTAAATGAATACTTGGGGCCATTGTACGGACGTGAGCAATGGGGAGAAAATGGAAGCCAGGCACGATGGGTCTGACACCCCACACCCCCCTTGTGTACCGGGGCAGCCTTAAATTGGTGTTCGCTGACAAGCGGCACTGTCACCCCTTAATCAGTCGATACGGATACACGGGGTGGTGCTGGTGGGATCTTTGTGTTTGTTCCAGTAGTTATCACCGTCCTGAAAACCCAGGGAGCCGGCTTAAATTCCTGGCGATTTGGCACAACACCGGTAGCAATTGTGTCCTAGCCCTCCCTGCCCTTGGTCTCCCCCCAACCCCACCCCCCCTACGTTAACGCGTCCTCGAAAAAAAAGACGTGGCCATGAAAGACACACAACAGGCGCGTTTTGCTGCGCGGCGTCCGCCCCATACCGTCCTGTCAATGTCTCTGCACCGACTTGGAAAGGGGGCTCGCTTAACAACGCTTGCTCCAACAGCCCATACGCCCAGTGAGGCATCCCAACGCGCGTGCGTGCTGTGTGTGATGGGTAGTGTCAGCGGTTAGCGCTACGCTGCGCTACGCACCCGGCTACCCGAGTTCGATTCCCGCTCACGGTTAACATCAGTGACGATTATCTGAACGGGTCCTGGGCCTACCCCTGGGTCGACTCAGCCTCAAATGAGTACCTGGCGCGGTGTGTAATTAGCGCCACTGGGGAGACAAAGGCGGCCGGGCGTGGTGCTGGCCACCCAACCCCTAGTGTGCGTTTCCGGCCTTCATAGGTGCTCGCTAACAGCACTTTGCCCCAACAGTCTGTTACAGGCTACACGGGGGATCTTCGTCTTAGATCTTCGATGGGTAAGGGGAGGTGGAGTGGCCAAGCGGAGGCAAGGACTTTCACAGGCGCGGGGGAAGGGCTGGACGTCTCTGAAGGGGGTGCAGTGGTGACGGTGGTGGGGAGAGGGAGGGAGGGAGACGGAGAGAGAGAGAGGTTGGGTGCGGGTTTGGGGTGCAGTGGGGGGTTGAAAGAAGGAAAAAAGCATCCCTTTGATCTACCGCCTGACGGCAGACCAATGGTAAAGCTTGATGGTTTAGCCTGCAAGTGGCTGGCTTGGTGAGCCACAGAGAGAGAGAGAGACGCGCAGGAGAGCCTCACGCAGTGAGACACAGATAGACTCGCGCAAGGTGACAGAGGGGACGTACAGGGACACACAAAGACACACACACAGAGCGGAGATTGACAAGAATACAGACGGGAAACACACACACATACACGCGTGAATATATACACACACGCGTGAATACACACACACACGCGTGAATATATACACACACGCGGGGTGTAGATAAAGAGACGGAGTAAGAAGCCGACACAGTCTGGATCTTGTGCTTCCTGGAAGGCGTGCACGTGTGTGTGCGTGCCGTTTGCAAAGCTTTCTTGAATTTAAAATCGTATAAGAAGATCAACTAAGTCCAGAGAGAGGGAGAGAGCGAGAGAAAGATCGGGAACGAGAGAGAGCGAGCGAGCGAGAGCTGTACTCCTTCACTGTGAAATTACAGAATCACAGTCATCATCGCCACCACCACCAGCAGCAGCATCATCGTAACAAGCACAGCAAGGGGGATAAGAAGAGCGAGCGAGCGAGCGTACGAGAGTCCTGGCCGCCCTCTCCTCGCGCACGGATGCCGGGGCCCACATAGCGAGATGGGCAAACTGCAATCAAAACACGGTGAGAGAGCGCCTTGCACGGACTTCACACACACACAAGGCAAAGATCCCCCGTACAGCCTTCACAGACTGTTAGGGCAAGTGCTGTTAGCGAACGCCTATGAAGGCCGGCACGGCACACGAGGGGGTGGGTGGAGAGCACCACGCCCGGCCGCCTTTGTCTTTCCGGTGGCGATGTTTATTACACGCCGCACCGGGCGCTCATTTGAGGCTGGGTCCACCTAGGGGTGGCCCAGGACCGGTTCAGATAATCTTCACTGGTCGTGCAGCGCGCTAACCGCACACGCGCACACACGCGCGCACACACACGCACACGAATACACACACACATATACAAAAACGCATGCACACGAACACGCGCACACGCATGCACACACACACGCACATACACGCATGCACACACACGCATGCACACACACACGCGCACACACACGCACGCGTACACACGCACGCACACACACACGCACGCACACACACGCACACACGCATGCACACACACGCATGCACACACACGCGCACACACACGCACGCGTACACACGCGCGCACACACGCGCGCACACACGCACGCGTACACACGCGCACACACACATATACACACACGCGTACACACACACATATACACACACGCACACACACACACACCATGCAGCCTGCAACCACCCGCATACATAATACATCAATGCGACCGTGTGCTCTTCTTTTATTGATGTGTGTTGCGTGTGTATTGCGTGTGTATTGTAGAGACACACAGTTGCTCGTGTCTGTGTGTATGTGTGTGTATGTGTGTATGTATGTGTGTGTATGTGTGTGTATATGTGTGTATATGTGTGTGTATGTGTGTGTATGTGTGTGGGGAGCGGTAGTGTAGCGGTTAGTACGCTGCGCTATGAACCTGGCGACCCGGGTTTGATTCCCGCTCAAGGCCAACACCAGTGACGATTATCTGAACCGGTCCCGGGCCTCCCCTAGGTCGACTCAGCCTTAAATTAGTACCTGGTGCGATGCGTAAACATGACCACTAGGGAGACAAAGGCGGTCGGGCGTGGTGCTGGCCACCCACCCCCTCGTGTGCCGTGCCGGCCTTTATAGGTGCTCGCTAACAGCACTTGCCCCCACAGTCTGTAAAGGCTACACGGGTGATCTTTGTGTATGTGTGTGTGCGCACAACACACACGGTCGTGTAGCGGTTGGCGTGTTGCGCTACGAACCCGCGGCGACTTGAGTTCGAATCCCGCTCACGGCCAACACCACTGACCATGATCTGACCCGGTCCCGGGACCTCCCCTAGGTCGACTCGGCCTGAAATGAGTGCCCGGTCCGGTGTGTAAACATCAGCACTGGGGAGACAAAGGCGGACGGGCGTGGTGCTGGCCACCCACCCTCTTCGCGTGTCGTGTCGATCTTAGCAGGGTGCTCGCTAACAGCACTTGCCCCAACGGTCTGTTAAAGCTATGCGGGGAATCTGTTTCTTTACGTCCGTGATTGCGCGTGTATCTGTATGTCTTTGTAAGGTTGTGTTTGTGTGCGTTTAAAAGTCATTGTGATTGTGTGATGTATGTATGCACGTGTTGTCTAACTTGTGTGTGTATGTATGCTACCGTATTCTCCGAATTTTAAGACGCACTTTTCACTTCTTAATTTTAAATTAAAAAAAAAGTTGAGTGCGTCTGAAAATCGTTCACATAAGTTTATCGATATCACCCCGTTTCTGTGGGGTGGTGCGTCTTACTTTCCGGAACGTCTTATGATCCGGACAATGTTGCTTATGCGACTTTGTAAGTCTCTGTAAGAGTCTCGTGGGGAGTGGTGGCGCAGTGGTTAGCGTTGCAGCTGCGCAAAACCCCGAGTTCAGTAGTTTCTCACGGACCAACATCAGTGACGAACATTATCAAACCCGGTCCTGGGCCGTCTCTAGGTCCACTCAGCATTAAACGACTACCTGGTGCGGTGTGTAAAACATCCGAATTGGGGAGACAAAGGCGGCCGGGCGTGTTGCTACCCCATTGGTGCGCCGTTTCGACCTTAATCGGTACTGGCTAGCAGCACTTGCGTCAACAGTCTAGTGCAGGCTATACGGGGGCCTTGCATCTTTATCTGTGTGTACGTCTCCTATAGCATACACGTGCACGTGCTGTTTTGTGCACAGCGCTCATTCTGTGCTGCCTCTCTTTCTCTCTTGTGTCCTCAGCCGGGAGACGGCGGGAGAGCCCTGAAGGTGAGTATCTATGAGTTCACCGCGCAACCACGTTCGCCCTTACCTCCACTCACATGCGCACAACATTTCGCTTCAGCCGCTGGTGGGGGCTGGTGGTGGGTTCAAGTGCTGTTAGCGAGCGCCTATTACGGCCACACACACACACAGACACGAGGCGAGGTAGCAATGCGACTGGCCGTCAGCGTGCACGTTTCAGCTGTGTGACCTTTGTTAGCTCACGAGTGCTGGTGACCACACTGGAAGCAGGTACTCGCCTGGCATGGAGGCGGTCGTGGGTTTGATACCGACCCTGACGCCTGCTGTATATTTGGAGTTTGCGTGTTCTGGAGCTCTCTCTTCCCGTGGTCACGTGCGTTTAGAGTGTGTGGCTGCTATACATTTCCACGTGACAAGCCACTTTGTTGAGCTATCATTTGTGGCCTCTTCCCTTCTGAAAAATAGCTATGTAGCTCAGCGGGCCTTACCTGGTAAAATAAAAAAAACCGCTTACTTTAGATACTAGTTTTAGTGCTGAGTCAACCTAGAGGTGACCCAGACCAGGTTTAGATAGCAATTGCCTCTGTTGTGCATCATGATCATGTTAAAAACCTAAGCTCTCTACCAACTCAACGTAATAGACAAGGGTGGTTAGCGAGCGCCTATTTAAACAATAAATGAATTCGATTTTGACATGCACGCACACAACTTGGAAACCCTGTTATTTGGGTGGCACTGTGGTTAGGGCGCTCTCATTCCAATTGACTCAAACCCATCATCTTCTCGGGTTGATAAATGAGCAACCATAATCTAGATTTGAAGTTTTCGTGACTGCAAGGATCCATACTCTTTGGTTCTTTCGGTATACCTCCGTGATTTTACCGAAATAACCAAAGAGTATGAGTATCCAGAAGTTTGCGAGAACTCAAAACAACGATTGTCGCATGCAACATACTGACCGTGCCACAGGAACGTGGAGTTTTTTGCCACGAACATAAGCGCCGAGGCGAACGGGATAAACTGCTTTGCTACACGCTTTACAATCGAGCAGATTTTTCTTTCGAACTCAAATTGGGACCACACGTAGCAACCTCCCCCCCCACTTCCCACTGTGAACCATTGACAAAGGGCCCACTGGAGACTCAGTGAGGCTATCATGGGCACACAAGCATCATAACGAATACCAATCTCAGTGTGTTGCTGGTATCAACGACATTCACTGTAAACACCAAGCTGCCAAAATGCGCGGATATAAATGTTGTACTCCAGCAAGCGACGATCTGCGGTGCATGAGGCCAATCGCCATGCAGGGAAACATTGGACACCGAAACGTATGACAATTTCCTAGACACACACACAGAGGGAGAGACAGAGAGAGAGAGAGCTTCTTGGTCACCGTTGAACAACGATTGCCAAACATTGTTGACATCGGGAAACAACAAAACCCCACTAATAAAACAACCCACCGTACACGTGCATGGAATTCTTGAACGCTTAACCAACGTCAGCTTTTCCTCGGAAAGTATTTCGGAAGCGCTAATGGCGCGTGCCGTCTCGAGCCTGGACGTCGAGATGACGTCGCCTGAGTGCGTGACGTCACACGTAAAAGGTGTCAGCGGGGTGGAGGAGAGAGCACGTGCTCGGCGCATGACGTCATCGCCTTGGCCGAAGAGGCTTTTATTTATTCTAGATTTGAAGCTTTCGTGACTGCAAGGATCCAGGCTTTTATTTGTCTAGTGCTGGAGGAGGTTTCACCAAGTATCGTTTTTGGGCAACCCTTTTGATCAATTCGGCCCGGTTTTCTGAAAGACAAGTGCCCCCGTAAATAGCAACACGACGTTAAACTCAAGTTGCATTCGCATCGGATCATGCTTACGGGAGTTCTTGTGGTCGAATTTAACAACAGACACATCCACCACAAAAAAACAGCGAGCGAATTAGGGCATCGGTGGCTCAGTTTCGAGTGCGTTGAAGACGGATCGTTTGATCTGAGTAGGAACAGCTGCCCTCTGAGCAAATTCCCCCCGGAATACTCGAAGAACGTACAACAGCAAAAAAAATAACACAAAAACCGCGCGCTCCTTAAAAATGGTAAGAGGAGGGGTAACATTTTTACGTCAAATTCAGAAATATTACACCCGCAGATTGAGTAACCGGTGTGAGTGGGTATAAGAAAATACCCGGTCAAGCGAAGCGGGGATATACCCCTTAAGTCCTCCTGTCCACGGAGCAGTCACAACGCAAGCCTGAGAAATGCCAATGGTGTCTAGCAGCTGTGCGTTTGTTGAACCGACAAAAAAAATCACCCAAATCACGGTGCGCATTGGTCGTGATTATCTTGCTCGCGAGTTTCTACGCACGCACGGAATGCCGATGCCTCGCCATGCAAACCCGCAACAACTCTTGTTTTTGCCATCCCAGGGTCTCCCTTGCCAAAAAAGACGCAAGTGTCAATGAGCTCTCATCTGGTTCAAATAAGAGGAAAGCTTATCTCTGTGCAGCAAACTTAGCCTACTAAGTGCCCTGTCATCTGAACCTGCCCGACACATGTGCGCAGGCTTGCCTTTCCGTTTTGCGCAACTTTAATTAGTTTCAAGGTTGATGTAACAATATACAGTTCTGAATTTCACAATACCCCTGTGTCTCTCGCTGCATGCGGTGGGGGGGGGGGGTATACGTGGGGCCATTTGCTGCGGGGAGCGGTAGCGTAGTGGTTAGCGCGTTGCGCTACGAACCAGTTCGATTCCCGCTCACGGCCAACACTAGTGAGGATAATCTGAACCAGTCGTGGGCCTCCCCTAGGTCGACTCAGCCTCAAATGAGTGCCTGGTGCGGTGTGTAAACATCGCCACTGGGGAGACAAAGGCCGCCGGGCGTGGTGCTGGCCACCCACCCTCTCGTGTGCTATGCCGGCCTTCATAGGTGCTACTCTCTAACAGCACTTGCCCCAACAGTCTGTTACAGGCTACACGGTGGGGGGAGGGGAGGTCTTTTTCTTTGTATGTGTGGCCATGTGCTGTTCCTGAGACCCTAGGATGTGGGTTCAATTCCTGGCCATGGCGCATGTTTAGCTACCACAAGTACCGTGCAGTTTTGAAATAACATGATTAATTCAGTGCTGGTTGAAGGCCTCCCCATGCAGTGTTACGGTGGCAAGATGTTAATTACCTCACATGATATACAGGATATCGTGGGTTCAACCCCGACTTGTACGCCTCTATATTTGGACTTTGCATGTTTTCCCCGTGGTCGCGAATATTTTTCTTCAGGTCCTTCGGTTTTTCCCTCCACATTTAGAATCAACATGTTCTTGGAGTATTTGTCTGCCGTAAATTTCCACGTGATAATCCACTTCGCTGAGTTATCGTTTGTGGCCAGGTTGTTTCAGAAAAAAATAGCTGTATAGCTCAGTGGGCCTTACCTGGTAAAATAAAAAATAAAAATTTAATAGTTTAAGTTTTAGTTCTCTAGTGTCTAGTCTTAACCAATATTTATAGCAAGAGGACGTCGGTTTTGGCTACGAGATATAAAACTGACATAAGACAGTGCCACAACGGGAGCAAAGTGTGGCCAAGAAGCTAACGGTTGCCTTATCCACCATAACCCTCTCACCCGCGGTGATATGGGGGAGCCAATACCACGCATCCGATTATCCGTGGTGTAATCCGCGATTTTACTCCTGTTATCCGCCAGGCCAAAATTATCGCTTGTCACCCCACGGATAAAAGGATGAGTGTGTTGCGTGATTCGAGTTATCCGCAAAAAAAAACCCCCTGCAAGTGTTCAGAAGGTGCCTCGCGATGCATCGTGGGTAAAATCGCAGGTCATAGGAAGACATAGGGCGGCGGATAATAGGGCATTTCGTGGACGCTACAGCTGCCGCAGATAAGAGAAGTTCTCCTGTACTGTGTGTACGGTGTTTATGCTGTTGTTGTGACTACTGTAAGTAACAAAGTTCACCTTGTAAGTGCGGTGATTATCATCAGGCAACATCTGAACGGTATCAGTATGTGTATGTATGTTGAGCTTCCTTCGCACCGTACATAGCCAACCGCGCTAATCAGAGGTGTGGGGGAAGGACAACAAACGAAGCACAAAAATCAGTTATAAAGAAATTAATTTTTAATTTATATTTTAAAGTGCACAGCTCCAGTGGCTTCCTAAGATCGGACGGAAGAGCGATCCAGACGGCCGCAGGATACATAGTTTACTTGTTGGTCGCAGTGAATGTACATTATTAATTACACTGCGCTATGATCCCAGAGACGTGACTTTTATTCCCGGCCATAGTCAAGGTCAGTGGCGAGCGATACCTGAACCACTCCTGGGCCCAACCTTCTCCAATCCGCACTAGCCAGCGTGGTGAAGTATGGTCAGACGACGCCCACAACCCGATACGGTGTTGGCAGGCCTTCATCCCAAAGTGCATTGACATCAAGGCGCTCTAAATCTTGACTCGTCATGAATGTGTTTTTAGGTTCTCAAAATTTAAACCGAGCATTTATCAGCAGCGTGTGCACACAATGTGCTCACCGCCTGCGCGAATGCGTGGTACTGTGTGTGTGTGTTGTGTGGGTGATTTCATTACCCGAGTTCAGCTGATTGGACAGAAAAAGGCTTCCAATCGTAAGGTTATGAGTTCATACCTTTGTGTGGGGCCACTCATCCACAGCATCATATTATTATTATCGTCTTCATCCCTCTGGGGTTGATAAAATAAGCGCCATCTGGTGAGGATGCTCCACGTCGTGGCAATCTAACAGTCATTCTCCTGTGGCGAGGTATCAGCCTTTGTCATAAGAATGTGGACTGTTCACCATTCACTCAGAGCCATCAGAAGATCGACGCTGCCAATACTCATTTGAACCAAACAATTGTTCCTTGTTTTCTAAAACGTAACGGCCGATGAACTCCGTCAGCTCATTTCCTCCAACCAGCCCGGTAATTTCAGCAAAGAATGACCAAAGTTTTTTTTTAATGTTTGTGTGTGTGTGTAAACACGAGGTGAAAAATGAAATTCCCATGAAATATTTTGCAAGAATAAGCCATTATGTGCCGGTCAAGGTCTAACTAACTATTTGTTTTACTATTTCTAGTTTACCAGGCAAGACCCACTGAGCTATATAGCTATTTTTCAGAAGCGACATGGCCACAAAAGATAGCTCAACAAAGTGGCTTATCACGTGGACATTTATAGCGGCAGCCAAATGCTCTAAATGCACGATGATTCTAAATGTCGAGGGAAAAACCGGAGGGCCCAGAGAAAAATCCATGCGACCACGGGGAGAACATGCAAACTTCAAATATACAGAATCAGAATATTTCATTACAATAGAGGAATCCGACGAGCTATAAAGCTCTTTTTCGAAGATGACCAGTAGGGGCGGTTAGGAACGTAACGACAACAAACATTACAAAAAAACATGATGGGAGTGCAAAGTACAAGAAAGTTAAACAAATCACCCAAACGCATACGAATACAACAAAACCAGCCTCACCCTACCAAGGCAAAGCCCACCGAGGCGTCAGGGTCGGGATCGAACCCACGACCTCCTGCATACCAGGCTATGGGCGTTAACATCTCCTAGCCACCGTGGCGCCCCTCTGGTCAATAGATCATCGCGGCCGATGCCGTTGATGCGAGCCACCCCTCAATCCGTTGTTGCTGTCCTTCTACCAAGGCACACCGCCGGAGCGAGGTTGACACCCTGACCTCTAGGCATCTGCTCTTTGCAATATTCCTCCATCTGGCCGGTGCCGTGCTTCACATTCCGAGCGTGAATGCTTTCCTCAAGCCAAACAGAAACAAATCTTGATGGAATTTTGCGTAACTGTCCCCACGTAATTGTGGTTGTCTAGGGTTTCCCTGCAAAAGTGACATTGGATCTCAATGGTCTCTCACCTTTGTTAAATTTAGAACGTTGATTAATTGCCCGACGATAAATACAAGTTGCTGATATTACAGCTGTCTCGTAAAATCCATTTAACCGTAGCACAGCTGCAGCATACTAATGAGACCCACAAGGGTTGAAACTTTGGTTGTTTGACCCTGTAGTACTTAAGCAAGGTGTGTGTGTGTGTCTGTGTGTGGAGCGGTAGGGCAGCGGTTAGCGCGCTGCACTACGAACCCGGCGGCCTCCGAGTTTGATTCCCGCTCATGGATAACTCCAGTGACGATTATCTGAACCGGTCCTGGGTCTCCCCTAGGTCTACTCAGCCTAGAATGAGTACCTGGTGTGGTGTGTAAACATCACCACTGGGAGGCAAAGGCAGCCGGATGTGGCGCTGGCCACCCATCCCCTCGTGTGCCGTGCCGGGCTTCATCGGTGCTTGCTAACAGCACTTACCGCAACAGTCTTTTAAGGCTATACGGGGGTCTTTGTCTGTGTGTGCACATGTGTGCGTGTGTCTGTGGAGAGGAGAGAGGGAGTGGTTTACACATTGCATTACGAACCTTCATGAGCAGGGTTCGATTCCTGGCTGTGCGTATCATCACAAAGGGGTGTTCGATCCTGGTCTGGATGCCCGGTTAAATCAACCGACTAAGAACTGTAATCAATTACGTTCCTGTAGTCCAATACTCAGACCCCTTTAAGAAAAAAAACAGGCGGCTGCCCTGACATCCTGCATCCCGAAGGTGGGAAACCTCCCACAAGCAACGCTCAGTGTGACGTGGCTGATGACACCGATGATGTCACCAAGCCACGCCCATTAGCTTCTGCTATATGGTACGTGTAGGAAGAGGGGTGAAATTTGTCTTTTGCAGCTATTTTCATATCATCCGCTTTGTCAAGCAACCGAACCGATAATCGACAGAGGATTTGACCATTGAAATAAATTGGACAGTGCAGCTCTGTTAACCCAATTCCCGTCTGGGACGTCTGCGAGTTGCAGGGTGGGTGCCCCGTTCACCTCCGCATCTTAGAACGCACAAGCAGCTCGGCATTAATTTTATTTTGAGAGGCGTAGCGCCGTTACTTTTAAAGACATTGTACTCACCGCGGAGAACCGCAGAGACACGATTCGCACTCTATGGTAGTTGGCGTCAAACTGTGCCACACGCCCGGTACCGATTAAGTCATTTTTTTTTCTTCCGATTTCGTTTTGATGGCATACACGCGCACGTACGTCATCAGAATGGAATCAGAAGAAAAACTGATGACACACACGTACACGTACGCCATCGGAACGAGAAGGGGTTAACACGTTGCGCTCCCTCGTGTGCTTACAATGCAGGCGACAGTGTTGCTGCGAGCACGTCATTGTGCCGGCGACTGGAGGACAGTGGAGGAGGCTCGAGAGGAAGACTCGCGGGGCACAGAGGCAGACTCACCTGCCCGGTACGGACGCACGCACTCACGCACTCACGCCACAGACGCACCACGCCTTCACAGCTGCAGCAGCAGCAGCAGCAGCCTCGCACGCTCGCCCTGCGCGGTTCGTGTCACCGTAGCCGGCCCCCCGCGTGCTCTCCCCCGTGGTCTCCTCCGCTCGTGAACAAACTTAGTGAGGACTCAAGGCAGCGTGCGCCCAGGTAACCCAGTTGGACCTGCGGCACGGCGGTTTGATGGTGAGCTCAGCCATCTGTTTGGGAGGCCGAGGCCGTGGAGTGATCCGATTGTTTGCGACGCTGCCGTTGTTGGCAAAACGATGCCCCAGGTCACTCTTGAAAATGAGCCTCATCCTGACCTCTTGATACATGCATACAAGTTGATACATACATACATACAACTTGATACATATGTACATACAAGTTGATACATATATACGTTACCACTCTTGTTCATTAGAATCTGAACCTGGACCACCGCCGCATTAAACTTGCACACAGAGACAAAGGTGTCCCGTGTAGCCGAAGAGACCGCTGCGGGCGAATGCTGTTAGTAAGCGCCTGTTAAGGTGCTTGCTGGCCAGCGTCATGCCCGGCAGCCTCTGTCTCCCCAGTCCTGATGTTCCCACGCGCGCATCAATGAACCGCGCGCACACGCGCGCCCAACGCGCTCACACCAATGGGTGACGGTGGGGCGACCCGGGATCGGGACGTTAAGGGGCCACCTTGCAGCAGTGGCCTGGCCAGCGCTGCCGCCCGTCGATGCTCTACGAGCGACCCTCAAGCGAAGAGAACGGCCGCTTAAACGCCACAGTGCCCTCTCCCACGCGCCGCGGTGGACTCCGATTACAAGAATTAAACTCATCGGCGGCGTTAACGAGCTCCGGGCTCTGGGCCATTTTGAAAAATCGTCGACAGTATTATATGTGGACTCTTTTTCTCCCTCCTCCTCTCTTTCTCCAGGTTTGTTTAAGCGATGCATGAGCAACTGTGGCCTCCTGGTGTGGATCACGTTACTCGTGCAGTCGCATTGAAACAGCAAACACGTTGACGTGGCAAATGCTGTTTGCTTAAACGTGTCTTGGCCAAAGCTCGTCTTAGAGAAGGCGGATGCAGCCTGGGTGCTCATAATCTCTCTCTCTCTTCCTCCAACTAAAACACTTTTCTGAAAATATATTTTCGGGGGGTTTTGTGAGGTCAGCTCTACGTACCCACTAAAGCCATTTTTGCAGTGTGATTCTGCCTTTATACGGAGTTGTGTTCGAGAAATCTACTGAAATACGGGTTTTTAATCTCTTGCACGTGGATATATTTATGCAGTCATTCACATATACAGTGCACACACACCACATGTATTAATGCCTGTGTTTCAATGGTTCCTGAACGACAAGATCTGACAACTAAAAATAACGTGGCCCAAAACATAAAATGATCATATCTCGCCGTGCCTCCCAGAAGATCAAAACATGATCGCTCAGAGCTTTCAAGAAATCGCCATTTGATGGCTCAGTGGCTTAGAGGTCAGAGCGCTTAGCTGACAATACGGAGAACTTGGGTTCAAATCCAGGAAAACTGCCTTTCTGTTATAAAAGCCTGACATTCTGTTTGTCCGTTTGTCCATCAACTAAATTATAAAAGAGCCTTTCAGAAGGCCTGAATCGAAAAGTTATAGAAAGTGGACCACCCCCCCCTTCCCCAAATGTGAAGGTAAAAAGGTGATCCAGCAGGTTGACAAACATTGTCGACCCCCCCCCCAAGTTTTTTACTCTCCCCCCCCCCCACCAACAAGAAAAAAATTGCATTGTAGGCATTTATACCTGCAAACCCTACATACAACATAACTACACACCCTACACACACCAGAGACAGTAGTATATACATACACACCCTACATACAACAGTAGTATATACCTACACACTCTACATACAACAGAGTTAGTAGTATATACCTACACACCCTACATACAACAGAGTTAGTAGTATATACCTACACACCCTACAAACAATAGAGTTAGTAGTATATACCTACACACTCTACATACAACAGAGTCAGTAGTATATACCTACACACCCTACATACAACAGAGACAGTGGTATATAACTACACACCTTACATACAACAGAGTCAGTAGTATATACCAACACACCCTACATACAACAGAGTTAGTAGTATATACATACACACTCTACATACAACAGAGTTAGTAGTATATACCTACACACCCTACATACAACAGAGACAGTGGTATATACCGACACACCCTACATACAACAGAGTTAGTAGTATATACCTACACACCCTACATACAACAGAGTTAGTAGTATATACCTACACACCCTACATACAACAGAGACAGTGGTATATACCTACACACCTTGCATACAACAGAGTCAGTAGTATATACCAACACACCCTACATACAACAGAGTTAGTAGTATATACATACACACTCTACATACAACAGAGTTAGTAGTATATACCTACACACCCTACATACAACAGAGACAGTGGTATATACCGACACACCCTACATACAACAGAGTTATTAGTATATACCTACACACCCTACATACAACAGAGTTAGTAGTATATACCTACACACCCTACATACAACAGAGTTAGTAGTATATACCTACACACTCTACATACAACAGAGCCAGTGGTATATACCTACACACTCTACATACAACAGAGTTATTAGTATATACCTACACACCCTACATACAACAGAGTTAGTAGTATAAACATACACACCCTACATACAACAGAGACAGTGGTATATACCGACACACCCTACATACAACAGAGACAGTGGTATATACCTACACACTCTACATACAACAGAGTTAGTAGTATATATCTACACACCCTACATACAACAGAGTTAGTAGTATATACATACACACCCTACATACAACAGAGACAGTGGTATATACATACACACCCTACATACAACAGAGACAGTGGTATATACCTACACACTCTACATACAACAGAGTTAGTAGTATATACCAACACCCTACATACAACAGAGTTAGTAGTATATACCTACACACCCTACATACAACAGAGTTAGTAGTATATACCTACACACCCTACATACAACAGAGTTAGTAGTATATACCTACACACTCTACATACAACAGAGTTAGTAGTATATACCTACACACCCTACATACAACAGAGTTAGTAGTATATACCTACACACCCTACATACAACAGAGACAGTGGTATATACCTACACACTCTACATACAACAGAGTTAGTAGTATATACATACACACCCTACATACAACAGAGACAGTGGTATATACCTACACACTCTACATACAACAGAGTTAGTAGTATATACCTACACACTCTACATACAACAGAGTTAGTAGTATATACATACACACCCTACATACAACAGAGACAGTGGTATATACCTACACACTCTACATACAACAGAGTTAGTAGTATATACCTACACACTCTACATACAACAGAGTCAGTAGTATATACCTACACACCCTACATACAACAGAGTCAGTAGTATATACCTACACACCCTACATACAACAGAGTTAGTAGTATATACCTACACACCCTACATACAACAGAGTTAGTAGTATATACCTACACACTCTACATACAACAGAGTTAGTAGTATATACCTACACACCCTACATACAACAGAGTTAGTAGTATATACCTACACACTCTACATACAACAGAGTTAGTAGTATATACCTACACACTCTACACATTGGGGGAAGAAGAGGGGGCGACTGGCAAGGCGTGAGGCATTGAGAGGCCCTCCGCCGGAGCGAGAATTTCGATGGCCGTAGGTCGCCGAAATTCTGGTTGATTAAACTCGGTCGTCAAATGTGGCGTGTTGTTTGACTCAGCTTGGCCACCAATGACTGCACAAAAAACCCATTGTATACATGTCCTGCTCCGAACTTGTCTAAAATACAGATATTAGAGTTAAAATGTATCGGGTTGACTGTCATGTAATGGAAATGTATCTCTGTAGCAGAGCAGGTGGCAAAGATCTGTCCCCCCCCCCCCCAAGTGTGGATAAGAGGTCACTTTGTAGGGCTCTCAGACGTAGTTCTGTGATATTTGCTTCCGGCAACCGTTCTCTAACACGAGGCTAGGCACTGCTGTACCAAACAAAAAAATCCGAATGAAGTCCTCATCATCTCATCACAACATCACGAAACACAACAGTTGGCATTTCTCACACGAAGCACTTTATAACAAGGAGGAAAGCAACCCATGTGACCCTGCTCTTCATTCACAATCACACAGCATTTGTGCTAGAATGTGAGCACATGAATAGCAGTAATGATTATTATTATTATTTCAAAGTAACACCCCCCCCCCTCCCGAAATAAATGCATTCAACACGTCTGCAGTGTGTGCAGCGACGGGTCACCATTGAGCTTCCGAGGCCAGACTGACACATTTAAGTTGCTTAGGATTCACAGGAATATGACCGAACCCCAAGAACTCAAGCGAGGTAACCTGCTCATGAAGCTAAGAGTGGTCGCAGAAATGTCCAGAGCAGGCCTGTGCAACTGCCTTGTTTGCTGTGCCCTTCGTAACACTATATTTAAACCCAAGTGAGAGTCACACTAGATGAAATAAAGTCTCTTAAGCAATGGAGACCCAGGCTCTGCTGGGAAAGAATACAGAAGCAAATTTCCTTCAGCGAGAAACAAAAAAAAACCGTAGGAAACAAAAGCGAGAGTGTCCCCCTGCTTAAAAAAAAATAATGGGGTGGTGCTCATTTGCATTGGCGGTGGGGGAAATTCCACATTCCTAGGCGGGGGACCAGGATGATTATATATTTATTTTAAATCGTGGTTGGCGAGAACAAGGCCCACAGGGGCAAAAATGCCAAGTGGCCACCAAGAAAGATCACTCGTAACGTCGTAATAAATTAGAAGTAACACGCTTCTAATAAAATTGAGCAAGGTTAATGTAGTAAGAGCTTGGGGGGGGGGGGGGGGGGGTGGGGG